CAGAAAATAAAAGCAACAGCAAGTAATGACTGTGGGGTCACGGGCCAAGCAGCCTGGGCCTGAACTCTCCCGAGGGCTCCCAGCCTGCCTCGCCTTGCCTCACATGCCTGGGTCACCTTGGAAGGGTCACCTGGGTGACTAAGAGCACTCTCCTGGGTGCTGACCAGGAGGGAGGAGGTTTCCCAGGCAGCGTGAGGAAGGCACCCAGAAAAACACCTGCGCGAGGCCGCGAGGCTGCCCTCTGGTGGCCGTGTGGGAGTCACACACGGCCAGGGTGGTTGGAGATTCCGGCTAAAGTCGCATCCCGGTGTCGTGCATTGTGCCAGGCCGAGTGGGGGCCAAGGCAGTCGCCGGTGCTGCTCTCGGCACGGACAGGAGCTGGAACCACGGTGCGAAGGGAAGGCTGGGAGCACCGGTCACTGCTTTTGGATTTGGTCACGACTTTCAAGCCAGTGCTGGGTGCCTGGTGGCACTTAATTGAAGCTTTAGAGCCAGGTGTGATGGGTCACACCTCAGGTCCTAGGTACCAGGGAGGACAAGAGAGGAGTCTGAGAGCAGCTGGGGCAACACAGCGAGCCCAATCCCAGAAAAAGGGAGGAGGGGGAGGGGGGAGACAGAACTTGAGAAAGCGTAAGTTTATTTATTTTTTATTTTTTTATTTTTGGTGGAACCAGGGATTGAACTCAGGTCCTTGAGCTTGCCAGGGAAGCGCTTATCCCACTGAGATAAATCTAAATTTATCACACAAATCTACAACAAGCACTTGGTAGAAGATGTGAAAATTCCCTCCTGGGCGCTCACCTCAGCTGTGCCCCTCTCTAATTTACCTTTTATCACATCTCATTGTCACAATGGACATGTTTATTTTCTCCCTGGACGCAAAGCTCCTTGAGGGCAGGGAGGACTGAAACTGTTTCCCGGGATTGTCACCGCCACCCCCACCCCGCACAGCAGAATCTCGGTGGAGCCTGGATGTGTGGACAAACAGGGCACAAATGAGTGGGTTGGAGTTTCCCTGGCTGGGGATCTTCCAAGCAGGGTGACAGGCATCTCGCCTGTCTGGTCCCAGGACAGCACGGGCCTGCCCAAGGCCGAGGGCCGTGCCCGGTGTGTCCCCAGGCAACACAGCTTCGTCATGAGATTACACCAGACACCAGTTCTCAGTTCCTTTCTTTCCCTGGTCAAGTGCTCAATGACCATCTGGCATGCCCTAAGTACTGGGCTATTGTTCCACAGGTCTGTGATCCTGGCTTTTATTTAATCCCATGACTCCGTGTTGACATTGGATGTGACGGCGTCCCTACCATATTCACCCCTGGGTGAGGTCAGCCATGGAGATGGAGAGGAGTGGGAGCTGTGTAACCCAGGCAGCTCGGCAGACACAATGGCTCTCCCTGTGCTGGTGCCCCACCCGCTGTGTCCCACACAGACTCCTGCCCAGCTAATAAACACAGCGCACTGGGGGGCCGATACCCGCTGCCTATTAATAGGTACTAAAATGCCCAGTTTGCTCACGCCTCCTCCTTCTCCCTCGCGCTCACCCACGGTGGATCACACTGAAAGGACTGTTCGGAGCCAAACAGCCCCGCACCTGGTCTCGGCTTTGATGTGCCCTAGACAGGAAGCTACCTCCGCCAGCGCTTAGTGGAGTTTTCTTTGTGCAGCAGGAAGGCCGACTGGCCTCGCCCTCCAGGTGCCTGAACTACAGTTACAGGCTAGCCTGCCTAGCTTCAGAGTAGTTTCCTAATCTTTGAAATGGAGCCATTCAGTTCTCTTTCTTTTTTTCTTCCTTTCTTTTTCCTTCCTTCCTTCCTTTCTTTTTTTTGATTGAACTCAGGCCCTTGTGCTTGCCAGGAAAGCACTTATTCTACTAAGCCATGTTCCTGGCCCCTAAATTTTCTTAGAGAAGTGAAGAGTAGAAAACCAGGCAAGGCCAAGACCCTGCCGCCAGGATGCTTGTACTTTATATGAAGAGAAGACATGAAAACCAACAGGTGGAGTTTAATAAGGCAGTGAGATGTCAAGAGCCTTAGCTGGCCAGGTGTGGTGGCACACACTCATAATCCCAGCACTTGGGAGGCTGAGGCAGGAGGATTGTTCAAGATTAGTCCGTGCTACAAAGTGAGCTCAAGGCCAGCCTGAGCAGCATAGAGAGACCCTGTCACACACAAAAAAAAAAAAAAAAAAAAAAAAGAAAAAGAAAAAGAAGAAAAGAGAGAGCAAACTGTTTCCTTTCCTCATTTCCTCTCTCCTTTAAGAACATTTTTCCCTTATTCATTTATTTGTTTGTTTGGCGCAGGGTCTCACTACACAGCTCAGACTCATGGTGATCCTCCTGTCTCAGCCTCCCCAGCACTGGAATTACAGATGTGCACCATCACGCCATTTTGGTGGCTGGCGCAGCATGCAGTACCAGGGATGGAACCTGGATCCTTGCTCTTGCCAGGCAGGTGCTCTCTAGACGGCTGAGCTATCTTTGCAGCCCATTGTTCCCTCTTTCCTTCACCAACTAGCATGGGAGGCTGTCAGGGTTAGGTGAGGGGTCCACATTTCTTTCTTCCATTCCATACTTTTTTATATATATATTTAGTATAGGGTCTACAGTGTCTTACTACACAGATTGGACTCATGGTGATCCTCCTGTTTTCAGCCTCCAAAGAACTGGGATTGCAGGTGCTGCGTGCCACATGTCCAATCTCAGCATGCCCCAGGGGCAGGGCCGGCCCGGCACACCAGGGATCGAAATCTGGTCCCTGCATCTGCCTAAGCAAGCGCTCTAATCCGCTGAGCTATCCTGCCGGCCCTTCTTCTGTTCCATCCTACACTCCCATACCCCTCTGCACCCTGGACACCGCTCTGACAGAGGAGACTTCCCGACATGAGCTCCGGAACCTGCGGAAAGAACTGCCCTCATTTCCCAACCCACCCGTCCCGCAGCATCCTCTTCTCCAGGTATAAACCCCTCACCACAGCCATTTCAAATCTACTCTCTTGCCAGAACCTGACATGCATTAAGGGACTCAGCCACTGACAAGACAAGAAGCGTCCCTCCAGTAGGGCCCAGGCACTGTAGTCTGGGTCCTGCAAGCGAATGGGGACAGAGTAAGGGGTGACGGTTAAAACCAAGAGTTAGTTCCCACAGCACACCGGAGTTCACCTCCCAGCTCTGTCACTGTCCCCTGCATGGCTACCTCTCTCAGCGCCATCTCTCTCTTCTTCCAAGTGGGGATAAGGCAGAGTTACTGCGCAAATTAAGCGGGAGTTTAACCTAGAGGACATTTAGCACGAGTCCCCAGGACACGCGCGTAGTAAAAAGGTGCACTGGTCAGGGGCAATCATTTTCCTTGGGTCCACTCCCCAGAAATGGACTCTGAAACACACAGAAGTAAACTTCTATCTTAGCTACTGGGGAGGCCGAGGCAAGGGCACCGCAGGTCGTAGCCCTAGACGGCCGGAGGACGGGGCCTCTGTCTGCTCAGACCGCGGCGAGTGGAAGCGACTGCGCGGAAGAGGAGGGCCGCTCCCGCAGGCAGGGGAGGAGCGCCAGGGGTGCAGCCGCGCGCAGGCAGCGAGCTCCGGGTCTGC